ATTGACAAATACCTTCTACGTGCCCTCATAAGTATTATTTGGCTTGTATTCTCCCAAGATATAGGTACCTATCAAACTATAATGCGACACAGAAAAATAAGAAGTGAATAACAAAAGAAATGTGAAAATAAAAGCCATAAAATCAAACTAGTATAGCTTACCTCTGTACATAAGCTCTTTTTTCTGTTCAAATTGCTCGACAGGAGTGTGCATCGAAATTAAATTCAGTAATTTGGAACTTTGAATTTGGAATTTTTGAAAATTTGGACATTGGAAAATTCGATCGATTTCAAATTTGATTTCACAAATTCTAAATTCAAATTCGTTCCGAATTCAATTTGAAAGTTGGTAACAACCGATTTCACCTAATTCGGTAATTATATGTAAGTTTTGCTAAACTAAATGCCAATTTTTGTATAATATAAGTTTATAGTTATAACATAATATACAACTAACTTAATAAGACTTATTGTATTGTTTTATAATATAATTATTAGTTAGATGTATTATTATATAATATAAATTTTTATATTACATATATCTTTATAATATATAAGAAGGCGTTTGGGTTCCTATTCATTGCAATTTTATCTGCTCACTTTAGGGACATTTTTGTCCTTTTAGCTTTTCATCTGCTCACTTCATCTGCTTATTGCAAGTCTTAGCCTCTTAGAGCAGCTCCAACGGGGGTGTAATGGGGAGCCATTACACCCCTCCATGACACGGCTCCCCATTGGAGCCGTGTCATGGATATTACACGCATCACCTGTGTGATGCGTGTAATCCATTGACTTTTCTTCCTGGCAACGGTAAAATGGCTCAAAGAGGATTTCCAACGGCAACATTATTTCCTGGGTGCTGAGGATAACATTATATCAAATATTTGTTTAATTTCCTACATAATTATTTTAAAAAAAATAACAATATATTATTTTTGAAACATAGAAAAAAATATATTATTCAAACTTAAAAATTAATAATATCATTTTTAGAAAATAAAAAAATTCAAAATGTACAAAATTTAACGAAAGTTAGTACTTTATTTTTAAAAAATAACAAAATTAGTTTTAAAAATTACTTTATTTATTTATGGGATATGAGTTATGCATTATTAAAATAAATATTTGATTAATTATGGACCCATGCTATTACACCTTGTGGAGTGTAATCCATTGTGAGTGAAAGTGTAATAAAAGAGGAGAAAGTGGAATGCTGACGTGGCATGTGGATTACACTCCACAAAGTGTAATCCATTGTGGATGCTCTTAGTGGAACATTGGGTGTTTGCAGCATTAACGAGAAGCATTAATGAGACGTGATGTTCATTTTTTGGAGCCAGCTCATTTTGCGTTGTTTAATTACATTTTGCTCCTTCAAAATAGTCATTGAATGGACTATATATTTTCAACTTATGTCTAACATAGTCATTTTACAATAGCTTTTTACTTTTGCTGTCAGACTTTAGAAAATTGAGCCTTCTCTTCTCCTGTTCTGTTGGTTTTGCTCGCTTTCCAGCTTATTGTTCTTCTCAGCTTCTTCTCGCTCTCTCTGTCTCTGGTTCCTGCCGAGAAGAAAAATGGCGTTTGGAGCCAGGAACGAGCAGGAAGTCAGAGGGATCGTGAAGCCTCGCACCGACAAAAGAGACTACCGAAGAATCGTTCTTCACAACGCTCTCGAGGTCCTCCTCATCAGCTATCCAGAAACTGATAAGGTACTAAATTTCAATCCATCCGGTTTCTTCTTTTTCACCCTGCTTAATTTCTTTTGTTGATTTAGTATTTAATGAATGTTGGAGTAGGTTCTTTTAGTGATCCAGAAGGTCTTGAAGGCCTCGCGCATTTTCTTGGTATGATATTTTGATTTATTTTCTACTTAAACAAAATTTTGGCTTTTCTTTGTTTCTTCATTCAGCTTTATCATTTTCCTTAAATAATTTTGGGTTTCTTCATTCTCTAGGTCTATGCAGCTGCTACTGTCTTTCTTGTACCATTTTTGGAGAGGAAAGGAAATTTCCTGAGGTGAACTTCAATTTCATTATTTTTGGGTTGTTTTCTTGCGTTGCTTAGGTAATTTCTTTTAACCATGTAATGCATCAAAATTCATAAAAACTCAATAATTTTACAGAAATTTGAGGAAAGTTTCATGGTTTTAAGTATCTTTTACCTTGTTTCGCTTTCAATCTATATGTATGGTAAATCACCCTTGCCGGAAGTCATAAAAGATTTCCTGTTTTGCTTTAAAATATTTGGCTATGCGTTCAACATCAATTTTACACTACAAGCTTCTACTTTATCCTGGTGGTTTCCTTAATGCTTTATACAACTCCACTTTTCTCGCCGTTATTTTTGGGCTTGCAAATTTTGTCTGCCGCTCTGATTGTAGTGTAATTTTTCCCTCATTTCTTGGCGGATTCTAATGCCTAATGTATTGGGTCCCCCTTTTTTTCAAAAATTTTGATTTTGTTATTGGTTTCTTTTTTGGACAAAAAAACTTCATTTATTTCAATGGACTTAAATTGATTTATCCCTTTTTTTTTATTTTTTCCCTGAATAAGAGAATTTTTTTCCCTTCCCTAAATTCTTAAATTTATATGCTGATAGGAAAATTAACATATTTAGATTATCTACTAATTGCGTTCTTTTGTTTATTTGATTCTATGAAGAGATTGTTTTCCTCAACAAGAAGGTGCTGGTTGAAGGTTAGGAAGTTAGAATAGAAACTTCCACGGGGTTGATACATTTGCTTGTGAAAGTTAAAAATAACATATTGAATAGTTGTGCCTTATAATTTTCTTTGCCTTTTCTACTCTCGAATTATGATTTGGACTGGGGTAATTTCTTTTCTGGCCTGTTATTTCTTTTTTCTTTTTTCCAGTTCTCTTAGCTCTTCAAAGAGCCTATTACTTTGGTTATTATTATAGCATGGTTAGGTTGGACGTTTGTTTCTTCAATTTAATGGGTAGATTTTACAAACTTACTTTTCTTCTTTGCATCTTAATCTTCATAACATCTCATTAATGTTTTAAAAACTAGAAGATCAAATTTTTAGCAAATGCTTTTACATTTTGAGCATTATCATTTAATTACGTGGCCTTTGTTCTAGAAGCGTTTGTGAGCAAGTTGGGTAAAGCAGATTGACAACTGAACTATGTGGTTCATTGCCTACAATAGTAGTCGATTCTGCCCGTAGTAATTGTAAGATAAAACAGCCAAGTTTAGTCTGATAATAATTGTTTATTTATACTTTTTTGGTTTTTTTTTTAATATTATTGACAATATCTTACTTGTGCTTTTATTTCCTTTGTATGTGAATTTGCCAAATGAGATTTTTAAAACCCTTTTTTCTATGGTTAGTCATTATTGGTGAAGTCATTTTGTTTAGTGTATGTGGTGTATGGTTCTTGGTATCTCAACGTTACAGTATTTAAATGTGAAAACAGTTTGAAAAAATGGAAGGAATATCTACTAAAGGAGAAAAAAAATTTAACTTTTCAGGTTGTGAATTTTTTTGATTTATTTCCCTGTCATTTTTCCAATTTTACACTAGATTGGACCTTCAAGTTTCTGCTTCCTTTTCATTTCTTAAATTTTTGCTTACTTCTTTAGTTTTTCTGCTCCTCATAATCTTAGATTGCCGCCTATTTGATAGATTGAGGAAAATCACAAGGAAATACTAAAAGGAGGAGAAAAAGATTTAGCTTTTCAGGTTATCGTCTTTTCTTTTTATTTTGCGGTCATGTTTCTAGATTACCTTAACTTTGAATTTCAAATTTCTGATTTATGTGCTATTTGTGGTTTTGACGAAGTTTTGGTGCATGTTGAAATTGTTAATTTTACCAATTTCTGAATCATATATGAAGCTGGGAGGTTCAGTTTGAATTATTCTTGGGGAGGATATCTTTTCTCATAATGGTTATGCATTATACTCATTAACAATGCATTGTACTCAAAAAGACTTCTTTTTTGGTCTCCTTTTTTTCTTTTTTGTAAAAAGGGCTTGATTTTGTAATCATGCTGTTGATTTTGCAAAAAAAAAAAGGTTTAGAATTTTCCTTATTGGTATTTTGGATGTGGAGGAAGCAGAGGAATAGGATGTGGAAGAGTAAATAAACAGAACCCAGTGAGTTTGGGAGAACGAAGTAGCTTGCTCCAAGCCTGTACATCTACTTTTGAGAAGGTACACACATCAGCTTGATATTCATTGTTTTATTGAGCATATACTGCTACAAGAAAATTTTCAAGGTCATGTGTGTTTCTTGTTTCTAAAGAAATTTTTTCTTAATTGCCGTACTGTGAAAACTTGTATCTGCTGAATGGGTATTCGTTTTGTTAGTTTTGCTACTATCAGATTTCCTTTGTTTCTAATGTTTAGGATTCTAATTTTCTGCTGCAGATGGTTTGGACTTATAAACCCAAGATGTAGACAGAAGCTTGAACTAGCTGGTCAGTGATTACAGTTTTTTTATAGGGAGTTACATGTAATTCTTGGAGTTCTATTATAGGAAAGTGACTCTATTTGTCTATTTTTTTTCAAGTTTACTGAATTCAGAGGTGTACACAGACCCTAACTGGAGTGATAGAGACTTTTAACATATATCACTCTTCCAAGTTTGAATATCTATTCGTTTCTATCGGTTTTATTCCGGCAAAATTAGTCGAAAGACTGTATTAGAGAACTGAATAGATGGTTTCTAACAGAGTTTGGTTGTAAATTGAAGTCAATTTATTTACTAGAACTGGTTGTTGATTATTGCAAGCCTTAGCCGAATGTTAGTGGAACATTGGCTGTTTTGCAGCATTAACAAGAAGCATTAATGAGATGTGATGTTCATTTCTATCAGCCAGCTCATTTTGTAGGTAAAGATTTGAGTTGTTTGATGCTTCTACATCAGTTAATTCTTTGGAGAAGTAGTTGTTACTCATGAAAAAAAGCAGTTGATAGCTTTAAATTGAATGCTTCCAAAATTTTTGGTTGATTTTCTAAGTATATAATCTGTTTCTTAGTGAGAGTTGAATTCTGATAATCAGCGCATGAGACACTTTTTTGCTGATACCATGGTGACATTTGCATATATGCATCAATCTACACGTGTGTGTATGCATATTATATATGTATATGTGTATTTATACACATATGCATACATATCATGTACAGGCAAAGATGCAAAACAAAGTGAGCGTGTGCATAGATATGTATAGGAAATGGAATGTAGTGTTCTGGGTGTAGCTTATTCACCTCTGCTTATATGCTCATATTGTCATACGTGCATTAAGGTTAAATTTTGTTACTGATTGCAAGGGAATATCTTTGAAACTCTGAATTTGCCAGGTACAGTTCAAAGCCACGTATTTGAGATTTTTGAGGGCCGATTTTCTGTTATATTTTAAAATTTCTTTGTTGTTACTAGCAATAAAAGTTGTTTAATAGTCCAAATTCTGTAAACAACCTGCTATATTGCTGAATAATGTTACAGAGAGAAGTGTTGAATTCTAGAGGGGCAACCCTCTCTTTTGTTCTGTACTTTAGTTGCTGCCTCTGATGCTAAGCGAATTTTGTTCTGATTTTAGGCTTCTGAAGAGCTTAGCTTTTTTGCAGCTAGCACTGATTTTAGGCACTGGAGAAAGAAGATAGTGAAGATGGAAATAATTCTGATTCTAGCAGTTATTCTAATGATAATGAGGACGAAAGGCCGGAGAGCAAATCTATCACCACCTCTTGGCCTCAAATTTACAGGTGGTATCATCTTATCGCACATATCTATATTTGTTTCTTTCTACATCTAGCTATGGTGTTCTCTACGTTTGTTCTGTTCTTGTTCTGCAGATTCTGTATTTAGCAGTGAAGCACTTGGTTTCTTGAAAGCTGTTATATTTATATGGTACCGGATGTTTAGCTTTACCTATTCATTTTTGGCTAGGAGAGATATTTAGAAATGGGATTGAAATGCTTTCATCATTCATATTTTGGAGCTTCTTCAAGTATTTTCATTCTGTTTCGGCCATGAATATCAATAGTTTATGAGTTTGAATGGATCCAGTAACATCAGTAAAGGATAGCTATGGGCTTAAGGTAGGCTATGTAATGTTATCAAAAGGCCAGAGCATTTTATGTCTTCCCTGGATCCTTCTTCAGCTTAGCGGAACTTGGTATGATGCACTTATATTGCTGACTACTGCCTCTATTGAAAAGATTTTCCTTCGTCATGAGGGACTGGTGGTTAATCCCTGTGAACCATCTTTGGAAGTGAAGAGTTGTATTGTCGTTACTACATTTATCAATGGTAGAAACCATATTTTGGATATTACCTTTCATCGAACCGCTGATTCTGGAAGAGAAGTTTCCAAACCACATCCAGAGTATTCATTTCATGGGCTTTAGACTGAACCAATTTCCATAACTTTGGTGTGTCATAACATCTGGCCAGAACTATACCAACTTTTAGACCGTCTGCTAGATATTTTGATTGAAATAAGTGCCAGAGATCCACTCTCCTCCTCCAATCATGTACCAGCGTTTCTTATTTGCATCAGTTTTCAGTTGTTTTTGGAGAGGATAAAACATACTGGTTTGATCAAGAGTACAACCATCACTCCCTCATGTGCAATTCTACCAGCTGCAAATAATTTGGCTCTTAGCTTTTAAGATTTAGAATCAATTCCAATGGTTCTTTGTTAATTTGTTTTAAACTTGCACAACTGGATTATATATTTGAGAAATGGTTACATTAGTCATCTCACTTGGACTGTGTTCAAACTCTGGTTGATAATGCTTGGTATCTCATATCCTTGTATCAGGCAGTCCATCGATTTATACAGCAGTGTACCATCTCCAAGTCTTAACTTCCTGGGACGCCTACGTTATCACGTTTAGGCAGCTCATTTATCTCTTCTTCATTAACAAGAAGATACACTCCTGAAGTACTCCCTTCTTCGCAAAAACCTCTATTACCACCAGTAGCAAATGCACGGCAGCCACCAGAAAGGCGTAGTTCACTTTAAATTTACACAAGCAGTATGAGCCTGTCTATGGTGAATCAGATGGCTTCTATTAGCGATGTCTTTTTCATGTCTGCAAGATAACAGTATCTTTGCATGGCTGATTAACTGTTTGAAAGCTGAATTTTGGTTTTCAGAAGGCCACAGCCAAAAGCTAATTTGTGTATGTCGATAGCATGCTTGGTTTTCATCTAAAGTTGATATGACTGGTGCACATACCTAATCTTATGGTGCAAGAAATGATGATTTTTATGCCTCGTTTATGAGCTTTTCCTGTCTTACCTTATTTACCCAGTTGCTTCATTTATGAAAGCTTCTTTCCTTCATTTAAGTTATATCTTGGACATCAGATGCCAAGATATCTGCTCTGTCTGTTTGAGATTAGGCAGTTGCATATAGTTCCTGTCAAATGCTTTTGGCTTGAGCTTAGGATTTTCTTGGTGTTGATATTGGTCAACGATCCACTTTAGATGCCTCTTCCGTCTGTTGTTGCAGACTTATTAGTCACAGCTCATTTGAAGCTCATTTATCCCTCGGAGTTAATTTTGCAATGGGAGTGTCTGACCATTGAATTGTGCAGGTTGCTGAGGCTCTGCCCCTTGGTGATGCATCTGTGGATGCTGTAGTGGCCACACTTGTCCTATGTTCTGTCAAAGATGTTGACTTGGCGCTGCAAGGTAGGTTAATTCCTGTATGAGACACTCAAACTTTGGTAGATAAAATTTACAATTTTAGCATGCAGCATCTAAAGGTTTTTTCTTAAGAAAATATGAATGGTCTACTTCTTGTTGGAAGAACATGTCATATACGCCTCAGTGGCTAGGTTTGTTCTGCTCAGTGTATATCGAGTGGAAAAGAAGATAGCAGGGGCTAATACACATTCTAGTAATTGTTTTCAGAGATTATGAGGGTGCTAAAGCCAGGTGGGCTCTGTGTGTTTGTGGAACACGTAGCAGCAGAAGGTAATAAAGATGTACTTCCTATTTGCGATAATGAAAGCTTTTATTTCATGTTAACTTCTCTGCCACCTCCATCTAACTGAATTATAACGTCAAAGCCTTGATTTGTCTGTTTTGCTGGCAGATGGAACAATTCGGAGATTTTTCCAAGGGATTCTTGATCCTTTGCAGCAGTTTGTTGCTGATGGCTGTCACTTCACTAGAAAAACTGGAGAAGTTATTGCTAAAGCGGTCTTCTCATCTGTTGAACTTCAGCGGGCATTTGTGTCTTCTGCCTCAATAGCAAATCCTCAGGTTTATGGGATAGCTCGCAAGTAGCCTAGATTAATGTTATGCCACATAAAATATTCCTGCTGCAAACCTTGGAATAATTATTTGAATACTGAGTGTGTCTAGTGTATTTGGATAGAGTATCATTTGAAATATTATTTAAAATAATTAATGTAGCACTTTTTGTGATGTGATGTATGTGAGATAAAAATTAATTGAAAATATGAAAAGGTGGATTGGTAAATGTGTTTATGATGCAAGCGAAATATTATTTGAGATAAATTTGCAATCCAAACACCAGTTACACATTCCAACCATTACTTATACTTGTTGTACTACTCTATTGTAATACATTCCAACCTTCATCAGAATCAGTAATAAATTCCAACTATTGCAATTCTCTTATTGTACTACTCTTTGTGGTCCAAGCGTGGTGGTCCTTACCAAAGATAGCAGATGCCCGAAGGGTGCCATTTTCATGTAAAAGTTGAAAAAAGAAAGACAAAGCTCTCAAGGTAGTGGATGGCTTTGATTCATTTATTGATTTGCCATTTTCGACGTTAGTGCCTTAGTTGATCTTCTGAGTGGTTAAGATTGTTTACATGTACTAATTCTTATTCCATTGCTCTATGATCATCATCAATTATTAAATAGCAAGAAGTCTAAGCACAAAATTAACAGTTGGGTACTACTTTACCTCCTACCTTGGTGCACAAAATAAGAAAGAAACGACAAGTAGCACACTCTCATTTAGCTATCGACATATTTACAAACAAAAAAAGATAGGAAAAATGGATTAAGCAAAAAAGAACACGAAATTGGACATGAAAGAGATGAGGCATTGTGAGTAATAAAATTGAGGTACTAGATACTACCTTAAATTGTTAATTAGAAATATAGGCCAAATTCTTGAACTTCTCATCTGGGGGTCATCTCTTATTATTAAGTTAAAAAAAGACAATAAATAAAGAAATTCGAAAAAAAGTAATAAAACATGTAAAGTAATTCAAAAAATAATAATAAAACATACTAATTCATTCTCGGGTTCTCTTTCCCTTTTTCATTTCCCTAAATAACTATTACTAGGGATAATTTCAGAAACCTATCTTGAGGTTTCTCATAATATCACTCAGCTCTCCTGATGTCTTTAAAATCTCACTTAACTCCTTTGAATTGACATTCATTGTAGCATTTTAGCCCCTTTGAGGAAATGCAAGAAAGATAATACTTTTATTTTAGTTTACAACAACAATTTAATTTATAAAGTTTACAACAACAATAAAAAATAAAATAAGGTTAACTTTTTATAAGTTGTAAATTTTTTAACTTAAACTAGTTGTTTTGGAACAAAGCAAAATTTACACCTTGAAGAATTCACACATATGAAGAGATTATTTTAATTTTTAACATAACTTAAACTACATCATGTATTAAAATGTATTTCCCCAAAAAATTTCTTGACTTTCGTATAACTATCTATGAAAGTTTTCAAGGTATTAATTACTCACCAAAATCCCCTGAATGGTTGATTCTAAATAGATTTAATTTATCCACATCTTTTGCTGTCCCACCACGATCTCTATATAGAGAAATATAGACCATTATTATATAACAATTCATTTTTTGTTTTAATCTACATTTTTTGGTTTAACAATTTTACTTTTTGACTTTTTGGTTAAATAGTTATTAAGAGCAAAGGTGTTATTGTCAATTTATGACATTTGATAAGAATATTTAGTCTCGTCAAACTCACAGAGGAGGTAAGCAAAATTTTACAAACCTCAAGGAGCTGAATGATATTACGAGAAACCTCATAGATTTTTTGAAATTATCCCAAAAAAAAAGGGTAAACAATAAAAGAAGGCGATTGGGAAAGCCATAAAGGAGCTAGACACTGGTAAAATAATTTATGGGCCAAAGAGTAAAATCAATAAAAAAAGGGCATTATTGCAAAACGGGCACTTAAATATCCGTCAGGGTTCTTATTCGCGTTTGCACACGCAGATACTTCTCACTGTCCTTCTCTGTATTCGTTTATGCAACCCACAACATCAACAAAAAATTGGTAAGTTCATTTGTTTGTTTATTTAGCTATGAAGGCTTTTTTTCCCCCTGTTAAATGGATGATTTATTTATGTTTTAATTTCTTGATCTTGATTGTAGCTTGTGAACCTTTCGTTGCTAATGCCTTATTGTGTCTCTCAGGAGTTCTTTATTTCTTGGTGGTTAGCTTTTCTCCATAAAGTTTATATTTTGTCATAACAATTTGTTTCTGGTGATTGGATTTTATTTTGTGTTTAGACCTATTGAAGTTCAATGAAATTGTCAGTTCTGGCGCTTGAGTTATTTTATTTTATTTTTTGGCTGGAACTGGTCTGAAACCCGAATGAAGATGGATGCAAAATTTGTTCCCTAAGTTGGCTGTTAAGGTTTCTTTTGCATATGAGTGAACTATGAATGAAAATAATCCGAAAGTACTTGCATTTGTTCCTTACTTAAGCCCTCGAATGCCTTTCCTAGTTTTTCTTTCTCCTTTGATCTATTGAGACATTGGATATTTTGGATTTTGAACAAGAAAATCTTGCAAGGGTACTCAATATTGAATCGATTGGTATATTTTGCACATTAGCTTTTCATAAGGGTTAGGTTCATTCCATAAGTCGACCACTCTCTTTACAGATTGTTCCTTTGTAATATTTGATTGCAAGTAAGAATGCAGCCTAATACCAAACTTAATCCAAAAAAACGTTGCTTAGTATTGATTTGTTGTATGCCTAGTCTGCCATGCTCTGGGTATATGCATGGAAGTCAATTCCTAGAATGCTACCATTTACCAAAACATTCTTGCATGTGGTCTTCTCTCCCAAAGCACATTCATGCAAAAGATATTTATCAAGCATGGTAGCCAATGGCATCAGATTGGTGGACTGAAAATTTATGAGTTGTAAACGGCTTGCAATACTGGATGTCATATTGTCGATTAGTCTTCTCTATACCAGTAGGATTTCCATATTCCAGAATGAGATGATAGTCCCTGAAAATATGAATGAGATTGACATCTTCCCCATTTCTCTTCTTAAGGTGAGAAGCTCACTGGAAATAGGATGTGAAGCTTCTACACAGGAAGGAAGGATTACATTCATTTGCTGCATTTAGTACTACAAGTGCCAAAGGGCACTGCTTCACCAGAAATCATCCTTCAGTGTTTATTTTTTGTAACTATCTTCAAACCATGAAGCTTTCTGTAGTTTTCAAATCCTTGCGTAGCTATCCCGCTCTTCGTGTAGTTACTGGCCCTCTACAGTCTCGTGCATTTCAGCCTGATTTCATTCCCAGGCGATCCCAAATCAAAGCCCGTAAGACACAAGTATCCTGCATTCTATGATCCTTATGGCCCTAGACCCCCACCTTCATATAAGATCATTCGGCTTGCAGAACATATTGCAGCCCTGTCTCCTGAAGAGCGTAATTTGATTGGTCCACGCTTAGAGACAGACTAAGACATCGAAGATTCAACCAGTTTTAGTGGAGGGCATGGACTTGGGTCCTCAGGAGGTCTGGTGTTGTCTTCAAAGGCTGAGGAGAAAAAGGTTGAAAAAACTGCATTTGATGTCAAGTTAGAAAAGTTTGATGCTGCTGCAAAAATTAAGGTGATCAAAGAGGTTCGTGCTTTCACAAATTTGGGGTTGAAGGAAACCAAAGATTTAGTTGAGTAAGTACCAGTTTTAATTAAGCAAGGTATCACTAAAGAAGAGGCAAATGAGAAAATCAAGGCTGTAGGAGGAGTTGCTGTTATGGAGTAGATTTTCACCGAGTTTTGTATGCTTTCATTGAACTGTTATCAAAGTTCTATTGCCAGTTTTTCGCTTTGATAGAGAAACAACTGCCATTCTGAAGATGTTGTTCTTGCATATTCAAAAGAATGAAACTTTCCTTGCTAGGTAGAGGAGGAACATTATTATATTTTCCTTCAAAATTGGTTTTCATACTTGATATTTTGTGCTGACCCTTAATGGGATTTTGGGATACGGATGGGCCACCAGGGGAATTGGCTTAACAGATGTCTGGTTTGTGTAAAATTGCTGGTGTATGATATTGGAATTATTGCTGATTTAGCTGTGGTTGCAACTTACAAGTAGTCTGTTTGGTTCAGCATTTTAACATGGTGGCAGACTTTTCAGTGGCCGCAAATGGCCTCTGTCCATTTTTGAGATGGCCAAACAGTTACATTTCAGGCTTTTGCCAAGTATGGAAATTTTGGAATTGAATTATGAACTCTCAACATGCGATTTTCACTTAACTGATCCCCAGCAATTAATAGACCCACACTCTAGTAGATAACATTTTTAGCCACTTCATGCAATATTTGAAAATATTTCTTGCGCAAATATGAGATGTGTAACCTTCATTGTTGTGGTCGAATAACATTCCTAATTGACCAATTGTTACTAGTCAATTAGTTCATCTTAACTTGAAAGCAGCAGTAGAGTAAATAAACATGATTGTGGCCCAAGTCTTCAGTTTTTTTAATTTTTAACATAACTTAAACTACATCATGTATTAAAATGTATTTCCCCAAAAAATTTCTTGACTTTCGTATAACTATCTATGAAAGTTTTCAAGGTATTAATTACTCACCAAAATCCTCCTGAATGGTTGATTCTAAATAGATTTAATTTATCCACATCTTTTGCTGTCCCACCACGATCTCTATATAGAGAAATATAGACCATTATTAGATAACAATTCATTTTTTGTTTTAATCTACATTTTTTGGTTTAACAATTTTACTTTTTGACTTTTTGGTTAAATAGTTATTAAGAGCAAAGGTGTTATTGTCAATTTATGACATTTGATAAGAATATTTAGTCTCGTCAAACTCACAGAGGAGGTAAGCAAAATTTTACAAACCTCAAGGAGCTGAATGATATTACGAGAAACCTCATAGATTTTTGAAATTATCCTAAAAAAAGGGTAAACAATAAAAGAAGGCAATTGGGAAAGCCATAAAGGAGCCAGACACTAGTAAAGTAATTTACGGGGCCAAAGAGTAAAATCAATAAAAAAAGGGCATTATTGCAAAACGGGCACTTAAATATCCGTCAGGGTTCTTATTCGCGTTTGCACACGCAGATACTTCTCACTGTCCTTCTCTGTATTCGTTTATGCAACCCACAAAATCAACAAAAAATTGGTAAGTTCAGTTGTTTGTTTATT